AATGGTTGGCGCAAGCAGTGGACTCTAGGGAGAGAGGGAATGAAAGAAAGACTAGGAGAAGGATACAAGAGGGTCGATGAAAGAAATCTGGGACATGGTGCATATCATATGATGGGGATAACTAACTGTTGTTCATCATCTCTGACGTATCCCTGTATTAATCTGTTCTAGAACAAGAAATACTTAGGTTTCATGCAGTTTCTGAAGAAGGGAAAGAAAGTAACAGATGTCTCTATAAATGTTATAAGAAGTGTAGCTCTGTTTTTAGTTTCCCTCACATTTACAGATATATATCTTATTTGAGCACTGAAATTTCAACAGTAACATCAAAACGGCTGTCAAAATGCTGCTACTGCCAAACTGAGTGTCTTCGGGGCACCCTTCCCTGGAGAAGCTGTGCTCTCTGGCGGACTGTCAGTGACCAGTGACGTGGGAGGCATCACTTGTCTGCTCGTGAATATTGGGGAAGCTGCAAGTCAATGTTGCATGTGAACTGAGTTGTTGAAGGCCAAGTACAAATACCACATTACTAATGAAAACACAATCAAGTTCAACACCCACAGATGCGTGCCAATCTCTAATTGCAGTAACAAAGCAGAGCATTATTTTCTATTGGACTACTACTAAATTCTTCCTAGCAGCATAATGATTTTGTTAAAATACATTATATTTATAGGAAAAAACCCTGACTATATTTGCCACACATTTGTCAAGTTGAGAGAGGCATGTTGCTGAGAGAGAACATTTACCATTGTTGCTATGGCACTGAATTAACAATTAAATACATTTTCCATTTGGACAATGATTTGAAACTTTTGACACTGAATATAGAGGGGGGGAAATGACCCAAGAAAGGCTTGGAAAAAATTTTGATGATATCTAAGTTCTTAGAAATAGTATTAAACATTGTAAAAAAAAAAAAAAAAAAAAAAAGCAAAAGATAATCTTTTCAAGGCTGTGATTATTCTTGGCTAGGCATATCTCCAAAATCTATCCCTGCCCCCCCCCCCCCCCCCCGGCATTGCCTATTTTATTCCCCTTCATTTCCGTGAAATTGGCTGTTCTGCTGCAACACAGTGCTCACTATGCCCAGCCTCAGGTCCTCCAGTGCATCATCTATCCCAAAGATCAGAATCCCTATGTGACATACAAAGTTTCAGAATTGTCCTCAAGACACCTTCTCAGATTATCTCCTACCATATGCATGTTTCAAACTCAACAAACCTCATAGAGCAATGAGCAATTCTGGTAGGTTAGTGACAAGCAATTAGAATGAAATGTGTAAAGTACTACATAGAGGAGTAAGCTCAAAGAATAATAAAAAATAAAGGAAAATAACCTTGACTAGAATAGGGTGACGTTTCAAGGAAAGTTCCAAAAGAAGACTTACTTTTTTTTATTTTCTCCTTTTTAATTTTATATCTGTTTTTTACTTTTGGCTAGAAAACTTTCTTTTTATCTGCACTGCAAATGGCAACATTAGTAACATATTGTTGGAGTCATTGGTTAACAATCTATCCTGGTGCATAGGTTACTTGATGTTAGGGACTATTTCTCCTTATCTTTGTTCTTTTTGCTTCTGACTCTGAGACTGGCATGCAACACTCACTCAATTCTGGGAAATATTTTTTTGTAAATAAATAATTCAAGATTCACCTCAAAACTCAACTTTTGGAAGATTGCCCCAGCCTTACCTGGTATACTTGATTATCCTTTTCTGTATACAAATTATTATTGTATACACATTGCTCATCTAAGGCTTGTCATACAAAACAGTGTGTGTGTGTGGTTTCTGGTGTCCATCTCCCACACCTGTGACCTCCCTAGATCAGGGATAAGATATTCCTTATTAATTTTGTATTTGTTTGTTTCATCCCTGTGGCTTCCTTTCTAACACTGTGCCTAGCACTTCTTATGAACTTGAAAACAATAAAGTGTGTTGAATAATTTCTGTCTTATGATATGTTAAAAACAACAAAAACAAACACAATGTATCACCATAAGATGTACAACTGCAGAATCCTTGATTGTTAAAAATAAAAATTATTAAAAACAAAAAATTGAGCTCTAAAGTTTTTGTTTGTATTTCAAGAAAAACTTACACCTGCATAAGTTTTAAATCAAGGCATATAAACAATTTATAGACAAGCTCTTCTGCGAAATAGTCATGTAGACATCATGAATAGCGGAGGTAAATTATCTAGAAAGTGTTCCAACATCTTTCCTTTTCAGTATTATAAGGTATCACATTAGAAAAAACAAAAATATGAGAACTATAACAGGAAATGGAAAAAGCCTTCCCAAATCTACTCTTTTTAATTAGTTCTTGTCATAACACTCTAAATGTTTTCATTACAAACAATTCAAATAAGAACTTACAAGTGATCGTCTTTTAAAAAACTGAGTCCAAAATATAAGGATATTGAAGTTTGCCATCAGTTCACTGATAGGTTAAGACTTAAGTACTGTTTTTTTTTTTTCAATTTATCTTTATTGTTGAAAGTATTACAAATGTCCTTCCTTTTCCCCCTCCCACCCCCCCTTTGACACCCTCCTCCCCATTCCTGCCCCACCCCCAGGCCTTGACCACACTGTTGTTTATGTCCATGAACTTATATATGCATATAAGTTCTTTGTTTTATCTTTTCCGGTGCCCCCACCCCCTTCCTTCTGAGGTTTGTCAGTCCATTCCTTACTTCCATAGCATTACTACTTACAATCGCTAAGATCACAAAACAGATCAAATGTGCATCAGTAGGTGAGTGGATATAAAAGCTGTGGTACATTCACACAATGGAGTACTATGCAGCTGTAAGAAGGAAAGATCTCGTACCCTTTGAGATGACATGGAAGGACCTGGAGAGTATTATGCTAAGTGAAATAAGCCAGTCAGAGAAAAACAACTATCACATGATCTCACTTATTTGTAAGATAAGTGAAAATACTAGGTTGTTAAAGCAAATACCTCAAAGGTAAATTAAAACTACATGCATGCCACAAAGACTTTGAATATGTATAGTCAACAAAAATATTTCTATACCTAACTTAAATATTAACTAGATTTTAAGAAATCTTTTAGAAAAAAACATATTTACTAATATAATGCAATCTGGCTGAGTATTAAAATAATTTACAATCCCCAAATAGGTATAAATAAGTTTATATTTTATATCATAATGTTCTGAAAATAATTTATATTACAAATTAAAATCTGTACCAACATGTATTATTTCATTCATCAAATGAATATTTTAAACTCTAATACAAGGCATCAAAATAAAGTGAGAAATTTAGCATTTATTTGGAATGAATTAGTTGTATCTCAGTGGGTAATAAGTATTATTATAATCTATGCATTTATAAAGTAGACTTAGTTTGAAAAGAAAAAAAGAAAGATTCCAAATTACCTGCAACTTTCGTATGATCTGAGTTCAATGCTTCGTGCTTATACATGTTTAAGAGTACTACTTCCTGTTCCCAGCTTACGGGCTCCAGGTCCCCATTTTCGAAGTATAGCCTTCGAAGTGAAGATTTCTAAGCCCTGCATTAACCTTTTCTTGTGGAATACCTCTCTGGCTTTTCTTTCCCTAGGATCCACATAACATTGACACATTTATATTACCAATATGAATTACCTAAGATCATATGCAGAATTTTATTTATGTCAGAGAAAAGGGGTGTGCTCTTCATTTCTTTTTTTCAAATGAGAACTTAAAAAAAAAGTAAAATAATGATATGCATATATATGAGAACTATAATCCTATAGAAGCAAATGAAGCCCTTTGGAGGGAAAGAAAGATATAGAGAAAAATACAGAAATATGCATGTCTATATATGCATAACTCTGTATTTATATATCTATGTATATAATGCACATATAGTATATATAGCACATATACAGTATATATGCATATGTATTATATAACTGGAACTAAAGGCAAATAGGTCTTTTGATGGATACAAATGTGACAGAAAAATTAATCTGCAGTCTTCCAAGACAGCAGTTACGTCAAAAGAAAAGAACATGGAGGGAAAATGTACAAGCATGTACCTGTGATCTTAATGCGAAACAAGACATAAAATGGACCATTATTCAAATAAACTGAATTTTAATATCTAATTACAGGTTTAATATTAGTATTTTAATATCTAAAAACTTCTAAATAAATAAATACTTAGGAAAAAACCTGCCTTTATTCCGTATTTTTCCGTTATATTCAAGAGCAGCGGTGGCCTTAGAACTGGGGAGGACAGCAGTCTCCACATTAAAATAGAAAAGAGACTGAGCCTATTTCTTCTGACTTGCTATTTGTTTTTTAGACTAGAGAATCAAATGTATCAATGTCTTTCTGCTTTAAAATCTATTAACACAACAACTCTGTGAGATGTTTAGGAAAAAATAAGAAAACTGGTCAGATTTCAAGGCCCTCAAAGGAAATTTTCTAACTTAAAAAGGTTTTGTTACAGAGTGTGCATTGGCTTGAACCTCTTGTATTGTTCAGGCCCCTAAATTCCCATCAGAGCTGATGACTAAAGTTGCACCCACTGGCCAGGTCTCTACAATTACCCCATTGTGAGGAGCTGGACAGCGGCGCCCTGCCACGGCCAGACATCAAGCCCTTAGAGAGCTGTGAGGGATGATGAGGAAGGCTATTTTAATTCCCTTTTCAGCCCTTCTCAGGAGTGGCTCTTTAGTTCACGGGGCTGTGGGTACTTGCTTTCAAACTAACAAGCAATATTATAAATGGAGGTTGCATTATCATGATTGCAGACAATCTAAGGCACTTGAGGGCCGCGAAAGCCAGGTCCTCGCTCGGTGTGCGCTGTGTTGTATTTATCAGTGAAGTACACAGACGGCGCCAACAATGAAAGGGGGAGAAGCAGGAGCAGGCTGGGAGGGGGGCGGGGGGGGCAGCAGAGAACACAGGGTAAAGACGCGAATGCACACCAGAGGGGGGGGGGTGGAGCCCGGCCCTCTGCCCCCTAAAAAACACGGTTACCCGTTTTCTTGCTGTTCCACCGCGTAGTGCTCCAGCTCTGTGCCCGGAAGGGGCTGCACGGGGGGAGGAGGCAGCGGGACATTGGCCCAAGTGGATCCATTGTTTCTCTGCGGCTTAGAAGAGTTTTTATTTTTCTTCTTTTTTCCACCTTTCCCACCTGAAAATAATAATGCATTTATTCAGACATACCAAATATCAGAAGAAACAAAGTACATCAGCTGCGGAGAGGTATGCATGTTTCCAAAACACCAGAATCAGTATGTTACAGTTGTTAAACGCTCTAAACAATGAAATGATATAATCAGAAAAACATTTTTATAAATCACTTAAAATGATACTGTTTCTTTGCCAGTGCATTACCTACAGAACTAAAACGAAGACATGGCTGCTGTCGAAAAAGCACATTTATTGATTTATTCACGTGTGCTGCCTCCACACTTTCATTGTTCAACAAAATAATAGGCCACCACAAACTCTTTCAAATGTCAGATTTTAGTGCATTTATAATGCTCTCTTACATAATCTCTCTCAGTGGAAAATGCAGTGTCTGAGGATAGAGTCTAAACTTTTCCATTAGAATTACCCAGTTTAATTAATCCAGGAGAATAACAGTTTTCTCTTAAAGGAAACTGATAAAAATCAATCAGCGATGCTGGAGGAGAAGTTGTAACTCCTTCACATTAAATGTTTTATAGAATTTTTAACTAATGAACAACATAAATTTATTTTTTGCATATAGTAAGCCTAGCTCTCAGATCTTTTAAACATAACATTTCATAAATTCCAAAGGAAGGAAAATGAATGGAAATACAGCAGTCAGTTGCAATACATTTTCTTTTTGGTAGGTGCCCCTGGTGGGAACTGAACCCTGGACTCTCTGGTTCGCAGGCTGATGCTCTAACTGCTGAGCCAAAGCGGCCAGGGAAGTTTTAGTGCTTTTGTAAGACAAATGCACTCATCCAGAAAGCCAGAGCAGAAAGGAACACAGCAGCAGATAGGCCATATCTGGAACTATAGGAGCTTAATAAAATCTATCTTTTGTATAGTGCCAAACTTTTCACTCTTTGAAAATTAAATAACTAATATTTCTTCCTAAATGGACCACGGTGGACGCAGGAATGAATCCGTCCTGAGCAGAGGGCCAAAGGATGGTGAGGGGAACACAGGGAACCCCCCGCACCCCACAGCGGTCTGTAGCTGTGCTTCCAAAGCAAGCTAACAGACAAATGCTACTGACCCCTTGGATTTCACCTTTAGGAACTAAAAGTTGTAAGAATCAAATATTTGTGTCAGGGTTGTCGAGCAATTGAGGTATCACTAGAAGTCTACCTCAGCTCCTTTCTTTCAGTTATTAATCTGCATCAGCCAATTCAGAAAAGTATATAATTTATTACTAGCTTCTTTGCGGGCCAGAAAGTGATGAAACGTTTAAGCTGGACGCACGCACTGTCGCAGTGCCAGCAGGAGGTCTGTTTGCAGGTGGCGCGCACACGGCACGTGGCGACGGCACTGCTGCAGACACCAGCTCTCACTCGGCCTGGCAGAACGCCTGTTTGGGGCAAGGAGCACGGGGATCTCCACTTCAAGGACAAGCGCTGGATCTCTGGGTGTGAAGGCTAGTTTCTCAATCACAGGATAACTTTCCATAGATACCACCTCTGTTTCCACACGTGTAAAACAGATATATGGTTTCTAGTTCCTTAGGCATTTTGAGGATTTAAAAGACAATGCACGGAGAGAGCCGAGGGCCAAGAATGCCCCAGTAAATGCCGATCACTTTTCTGGTTGCCTCTGCGGAGAAGGTTCGACCTGTTTCTACAGCCTTTGCCACTTCCAACTCCAAAGGGTGTCCCAGAAATAGTCTGATTCTCAGAAGAAGAATAAACTTGTTTGAATTTACATTATAACTTCTCTGTTTCAGACAGGCGAGCCTTCATCCTTGGTTTCCGGATAGCCCACACAAACCACGAACAAGGACTGTGCTTTTTTCTTTAGTATCAGAACTGTATTTCAACAATTAAAAGAAGAATTGTTTGGGACACCTGGCCCATCGCTTTTCCCTGAGTTGTGCCTCCTTTATTTCTTACATTTATATGTGTACAATGTTTTTTAGACTTTTCATAGCACTTTTAGAAATGTTCTGTGCTCACCACCAGAACCGAGTGACTCAAATAGGCAAGTTCTTACATCTCGATTTTATAAATGAGAATGTAGTGTCATGTGGCCCCTATTCATACAATAAGAAAAAAAATTTAAATGCAGCAGTTTTTGTGGAAATTACTATTTCTGGAGCTCTGAACCCAACTCTGTAGAAGTCCTTACCCAAGGTCAAGAAAGCTATTATCAACTCTCCAAACAGCAAGTTTAAAATGTATTGTGGAAACAGAGCTGATTCATCGAAGGAAGCTTTGAGGGCTTTCCATCCAATTCCACAGTCCCCTCTTTGAGGAAAATTTCTGCTCTCTTATTGTGGATAGTCTTGGAAGGACTGTCCATCAACATGCTTTGTCTTCTTACAGCAACGAGCTGAGGCAGGCGGGCCCTTAGCATGGTGGTGGGCATATGACAGAAGCTAAGGAAATTAAATTCTCTATCTGAGAGCTAAACCTTGAGTTAAGTGAGCCACAGTTTGCTGCTGTTAATTGCAACAAAAGATCCGCAAGCATTTTAAAATGCGAATTGTGTGTGTTACAGTTTAGGAGAACATATTTTGATGACTTGTAAATATATTTGACCCATCTCTCTTCAACACAAAATGTAAATATTTGGATTTACATTTACGCTTAACAAATCACTTCTATATAGAGAAAATTATGAAAACAGCTCATTGTCAAATTAAACTTATAGTCTAATTTTTAAAATACTGCTGTATAAAATTATTTAGTTATTGAAGCTGATATTGTGCTACACACACATGCATACATATAATTGTGATGTAGATGCTATTTTGGAAGATCTGAGTTTTCTTTCATATTTTTTAATGGTTAGATTGTTAACAGAAGTGTTCATAATTTATGCATTGAATAAATTCTAAAAGTTTCAAAGAGGATGAAAAGTTCACTCAAACAATTCTGAAAAGTCCAATTTTCTTTATTACTGCAATTACTTTAAATTGGTTTCATGACTGTGCACAAATTAATAACATCTTATAATATGATATGATTAGATATCCACAGGTTTGATCCTAAACCTGAGCCTTAGGAACATACTCATAATTGTAAGAATAAAACATACTCTATAATATTGAACTCAATTGAACTGAACTAGAAAGGGAAAAATCAATTCACTTCCAGCTCCTAAAGAATGCTTTCTATCACTGATTTAAGTGATTCTGTATTCAGATGTAGATGAAGTCGTTAATATAATGCATAGATATATGTAAATGTTACTCAGAAGATTAATGGATTCAAAAAGAAGCAAGCACTACTGCGAATCCCGCTCTGCTTACAATGACTCAAAAGATAACTTCTAAAACTCAGTGGCAATCAACATACACAGAGTCTTTTATGAAGGAGTCAGAGAATGTCTTATGTATTCCCTGGCCTACAGCATGCACGTATTTTTATATGTATATTGCTTGAAGACTCTGCATATCTTGAATGAAATAAGCACAAGATAAATTACTTTTTAATTATTCAGGGAAATTGTGAGACTCATTATAAATAAATGACAGTATAAATGACATATATGGATATTCAAAAAAAGTCATCTATTTTATCAAGCCAGTTTAAATTTATAACAGATGTTTAAATTCTTCTGGATTCTATAATGTATCTAATTCTACCAATAGGTAAGAAGAGCAAATGGCTCATTTTGGAGGGAAAGAAAGAGCATTAACATTTTCAGATTGAAAGGGTTCTATCTCCTGAGGAAAAGTCATTTAGTAAATGTTACCCTAATGATGTAAAAGAATTAACTCCTTATGGTCCCGAAGCCTGGTAGTCATGTAACATATAGTAATAATACATTACAATTCTTTACTAAAAACCTGTAGTTTAAAAAAGCTTTATCAAAGGTGAGACATTATTAATATAAAAATTAAGCAAATGAGTTCATGAAATTGATTAGAAATGTTCAGATAAAGTCGTCAGTAATACAATGTACATGCTATGGTTGGAAGTCAGAGTGTGTCTATCACAACCTCTGAAATTCAGAGCTGAGGATCCTTGGGCCCGGAGGACGTCACTGATTTCCATCATGATTGGCATATATTTCTGTCCAGTAAAATGTGTTTTCCCCACATGTGCTATACAACACCTACATTGTAGTTGTTAATTTGGTGGTATATCTCATATATTATAATTTATAGCATAGAAAAATGATCAATATGAAAGACTATATTTTGGGGGGAAATTAAATCTCAAGGGAATGTCCCACATTAACATCTTATTTAGTATGGTGTTAGCACCTTACTTTAAATAATATCATGAATCTATTACATGATATTTTGCAAAGATTGTCCAAAAATAGGAAGGCACATCACTGAAATCTTAATATGAAAAATCTCCACAACCATCGGCATTTTAGTTGAACTCATTTATTTTCCACCATGTAGTTGACTTTCCTGTGTGATCTTTTTATTGTAGAGTTCTCTTGATGCTTAAGTAGAGCTCAAGGCAGATCAGATACATCTACTCTTTAATGAATAGTATTTAGTAAAATGGCACTATTTTTCAGTAAATATATCCTCGAGCACTTAGTATGTAAAAGGTGACAATGATTTTTATCCCCACACGCAAGCATGATTTCATTAGGATAAACTGTTATTGTCATGAAAGATAAATGCCTGATTGTGAGTTGTGATTCAGCATTTCCTCATGGTTGTTAGGAACACAGGTCATATGCTGGTGACAAACAAATATTTCTCCTTACTGCGATGAGACCAACCTGAGAGACTGCCACTCCGCTCTGAGCTGTTGTGAGAGCTGGTGGTGCTGAAATCCTGTGACTGGTTGTGTGGCATTCTATTAGACAATCCCTCAGCCAATCGGTAGTCAGGGATGTAAAGTAAGGCTAAGGGTTAAAGGGCAGAGGTCACAGTGGCATCATGTGATTAGTTCACAGCACAAGCCCATGCAGAACATGCAGTTAGCAACTCAGAAGCAGATGTCGGAGGACAGTGGAGGAATGTTTTGTCTCTTCTGCCTAATGGAAGTCGAGATGGATTGCTGATCACTCTACTGAAAAAGAGCTAAAAGGATGAAAACGATTGGTGCTGGTGTGTGGTAGTAGCAAATGTGGCGGTGGCAGTGGTGGTGGGTTGGTGGTGGTGGCAGAAGTTGTGCAAGATACTGAATACATGCTGATATATGCTTTTAGTTTAGACAGTGAGCCTAGTAATGAATCACTAAACTGAAGAACAAATACTAATTTTTATCTCATGCACAAATGATATGAAAATAAATCCTCAGGAAATAAGCACCTGACTCACCATTGTTACCTTTGTTCTGATCAGGCAGAGAATAACCAAATCCCATCAGATCTGTTTTTTGCTGAACTGAGCTTTTCCACTGTGGATCAGGCAGGTCGACAGCCAACTCGTGTATGCTGTTGGAATGCAAGATCTGTGTGGTGGCATATGGGGTGGCCTGCGTTATCTGGCTGGAACTGTTGTAAGTGGTTTTGGTCGTGAAGTCAATGCTGCTATAAATGGCTCCATCTGAGAGCATCGTGGCTGTTTTATCCCCTTGGCCTGGAACTGGTGGCAGCCCATCTGCGGTGAACAGAGGAAAATGAAACAATTTAATGATGCACAGGAAGCCCAGAACTATCAGGACTGAAGATGAAAAATATATGTGTCATCCTGCACGTTTGCATTTCAGCTGAGATGAGTTTCATGAGCCAGTGAAGGATAGATGATGTACAACCTTCGCCAAGCTATCAGCCCAGTGACAGGCAGGCCTACCGCTGTCCTTCAAGGCTCACTGCTTACCGCGCCCCTCCCCCATCCCTTCATCGGTGAGTGAGAGGGAGGGATATTTCACCGCTAAAAAAGGCTTTCGGTTCGCTCTGTTTTAGAACTAATGAGATTGTTACCTCTCTTCAGAAGCAATGATAAGCATGAATATACAAATTATGGATGAAAACATCTTTTTCCACTTTATCCCAAAAGACATAAAATACAACTGCTGAATAGATGCAAAAAATTCCAAAATAATACTATCAACCTATGAGGTACATTTTTCTGAAGTTTCAATTTTCTGTTTATCTGACTTGATTTCACAGCTTCAGAAATGGAGTGTAACTTAAGGTAGCAACATTGTTTTTCCTTCAATAACAAAAGAAATATCCCGTGAATAAGTCATTTTCACAATACAGTAGGATTTGACTATATAAAAAGCAACTTGAGTGATCAGTTTAATTCATGCTACCAACTCATAGACCTGGAGAGTTATAGTTTCAAGTTGTAATACAACAAGAGTAAAATTAAACTTTAGGAACCACACTGAATAGCAATCAGTCCACTTAACATTTATTATTTTGGTGTGCTGAATTATCTTTATGTGATGCTTTATAATTCAGAACTGCCTCTTCTCTCCTAAAACTAAAAATAATTATAATATCTTTCTTAATAATCTATACTCTAAAAGCCACACTTCATAGAATTTGAGGTCATTGACCAATTTGATTTCTTCGTTATAGGAAATTTTCAACTAGTTTTAATACTGTAACATTAAGTAATAAACCAAATTATCTTAGTACCAAAACTAATTTATCATCACAAGGAAGAAGTTTAAGTAAGAACTTAATCAAAATATCCTAAAACTTTTTGATGATACCAACAGTACTTAAAATAAGAATGCTTGTAAAAATATTTATTTTGTTTTTATATTTTTCAAAAGCTGAAATGTGTCTTCTTTACAATGGTAACAAGACATTTATAATGTATTTTGTACACTGCATAATTTAGGTCTTTCTGAAGGTTTGAAGTCTGGAATTCCAACTTATTTTACAATTAAGAGGATATGTACTTAATTGAAGTAAATATTTTAAATGCATATCAGTGAGATTGTTAAACATATCCAAATTTATAATATTTCACCAACTTGTATAAGCACGTAAAATCACTTTGTAATTTCAGAATTTCACAACTACTTTCTTGCTCTTAGTTTTAAACGAATTTGAAAATTTGATGATGAAGCAGCTTATTTTGTTCTTGTGTCACTATCATTTATATTCTCAAAACTTGTAATATTTGATAATATATCAAAACTGTGGAAAGAAGTTCTTCACTCTGGGGAAACTCAGAGCTCCTGCCTCTTCCCCAGTGTCCTTCCCTGGAGAGCATTAACCAGCAGGGGACCCAACTTCCCCACCCTTGAACTTGCGGTTCCCCGAAGCTTTGAGATTTAAACTGAGTCACCTCATCAGCAAGCTTTTGAAGTGGCTGTGTGTTCAAATGTTTAAAAAGGGGGGGATCATCTAAGAATCTAATCCTGCATCATGTTGCTCTGCCACAACGAAGGCTCTGCTCTGAGGAACCTCTCTCTGCTGCACGCAATTAGCCTTCAAGTCTAAGTGCTTCTATGCTGAGTTTTGGGCTGCATATTTCCTTCAAACGTTATTTGAGTATTCTTATATTTCAAAAAATAAATGAATTATCTCCCCGCATTGAAATACGGAAGCTTGTGCACGCATGTCTCCCCGACCAGCCTGGGCCGGAATAGGCGCTGCCCTCCCGGGCTGCTGCGCTCCCGCCCCGCGGCCCATCCTCAGGGCTCGGCTGCCTGACCGCCCTTGTGAACATTTCCGTTCGAAACCTACGGATTACAGAAACCCCTTCGTCCACTTGGGATCACTCATGAATGATTCTGTACTGGTTTTTTTGTTTGTTTGTTTGTTTGGTTGGTTGTTTGCTTGTTTTTTGGTTAATCCTTACCAGAACATATTTTTTCCATTGGTTTTTAGAAAGAATGGAAGGGAGGAAGGGGGAGAGGAGGGAGAGAGAGAGACATCGATATGAGAGAGATACATGGATTGGTTGCATCCTGCATGTGTCCCTACCAAGGCTGGAGATCAAACCTGAAACCCAGGTTCATGCCCTTGACTGGGAATCAAACCTGCACCTGGGTGCACGGGCCAATGCTCTAACCATTAGGCACACTGGCCAAGGAAATTCTGTAGTTTTTCAATGTCTTGGTTAAACATGAATTTATTTTTTTGGCCTGGTACAATTGCTTGTATAAATGCCTGTCTCCTTACTGTATTATAAGTTACTTGAGGAGAGAAACATAAAAGATGTATGTCTGTATTCCCATATTTCCTCACTGAGTTTGCAGAAAGTAAGCACTCACTGAATGGTTAAGTAATTCTTTTATAGCTTGTATTGCCAAAACGCAGACTTATGCAACAATTAGAATCTTGATCATTCAAAATGCCATTTACATTACATTTCCCATGTATTGGTATTCCATTTTTAAAGGGAACTGTCGGTGTACGTGGTCATCCTCAGTAAATATGGCTGCACCGCAGTCACACGCGTGAACTCCGCCCTTAGGACTGCGGAGCAGTGCAGATAAGAGAACGTTGGCTTTTGAATCTAGCAGACCTGCATTCTACACCCAGATCCCAAATTAATCACCTCAAAGACCTGAGTTTCTGGACCTTTAAAAATGATCTATGTCAAACATTTATTGTGCAAAGAAAATGAAAAAAAAAAATACACTATTTGTGGTACATAGTAAAAGACTGAAACGCCTATCACACTGAAAATAGACCTTAAACCTTGTAAAAACTTGGTCTTGGCCTTGATGTTCATCGTGAAATATTTCATGTCATAGAGATGTAGTAGAAATAGAATAAAAAACTTAAAAATCCACAAATGAACCATTTGGCTAAATTGGACTGAGAAATTGTAGATGTTAGTGTAGTCTGCTAGAAATTGGAAAACAATTATTTTCTTCCATCGTTAGGTATTTATTCCTTGATATAAAAATAGAATGGCGTGTTATTGCAATGCAAACACAGGAAGTAGAAGAGGCAGCTATTCCTTGACTGATGAAAAAGCTTTGGGAACAGAACTTTTGACACAATCAGTCTGGTAGGTCAAGGGGGCGTGCTCTGGCTTCTCGGTGAGAAGACGCTCAGACACAGAAGCAGCCATGGGGATGGCTACCCTAGAAGGCAGGGCTCAGTGTCGTCCCCGAGGAAAGGCAGCCACTTTCAGAGGCTCTGGGCATGCGAGAACCCCACACGCCTGTACTGACAAAAAGGATGAGCTAGAGGCTGAGATGTCTTACAACTTACTTTCTATTCTCTCATTTGCTCCAAACATGCATCTTGACCACTGATTGTATGTCATGCGTTGCGCTAAACCCCTATATGTGTAGTCATCCATTTAATCCTCATTGTACCCTATGAGGCAGAGATGGTTATTTACTGTATTTTATTTCATGAATGGGAGGGAGTTCCCCCTCTTATAGTTGGTATTGACAGAATGCATACTTATGCAATACTTAGTAACTCTATTACTTTAAATACTGTTTTAATTACATTCCAACAGGCAATTGGTATTCCCTTCTTAAAGAGAAAAGGCCAGTATAAATGTTTTTTTCTTTAAGTCAGTATCTGTATAGACTGATATATGTGAAATGCATCACTGAGGCTAATACTGCACTCAGAATAGTTGAACCCAGCTCTGAGTTTCCGGCAGTAGTTCTTCCTAGAAGTACAGAAATCCTCCAGTGGATTCATCCAAACGCTTTGGGGTTAAAACACGACTTTCCTGATGAATCTCTCCTTCAGAGATCAACTAAAGCAACACTCCATTCACAGTGTCACTCCCACAGTGTCACTCTTCCATGTGAGGGTGCTCAGCACAGCTCAGTCCAGTTCCTGTCTGCGCATCTCCTGCCAGTGGGAACCGCACGTACACACCAAACCAGACTCCGGGGTCACAGACCTCTCAGTCACGCCTCTCTCTAAACCCATCGCTCTGCCGCTGATTGGCTGGAAAGATGGGGGGTGGTGGTGAGTATTTATAGTAAGTCCAATTCTGTCTCCTTTTATTCATTATTTATTTATTTATTTATTTTTGGTTAATTCTAACCTGAGGATATTTTTTCATTGATTTTTAGATAGAATGGAAGGGAGGGAGGGAGAGAGAGAGAGAAACATTGACATGAGAGAAACATCGATTGGTTGCTTCCCACCTGACCCTGACCAAGGTCAGGGATAGAACCTGCAACCCAAGTATGTGCCCTTGACCGGGAATCAAACCTGTCCTTGACTGGAATCGAACAATCAAACCTGCCCTTGACCGGGAATCAAATCCTGTGACCCTTAGTTCCATAGGCCAATGCTCTAACCGCTGCGCTAACTGGCCAGAGCCAATTCTGTCTCCTTTTAAAGACCCGTGGAAAGGACCCTGACATGCAGGTTTGGACACTTCAGCATCTCAGCTACTTAGCACCTTTTGGTCTTGTATTTGGGGTACCAGTTATCAATTGCAGAACTACAAAAAAGTTCTCTCTCAACATGTTAAATTTAAGTGTGTACTCATTATCTGGTACATTCTCTGAGCATAAAGACCACCTCTCTTTAGCTTGAGATTCTATTTTTACTGTCTGCCATAATGCCAGCTACACTGGGCATGCTCAGTAAATGTATGAGGAATGAGCCAGAGAAGTGAAATGACTAGACCAAAAGCCTAAGTCTTGTTTAACAGCCTAGCTCCTGATTTTACTAATCTTGTACTAATGTCTTAAAAACAAAATGTATTATGAATATTTATGTTCTTGGTTAGTAATGACTTCCTTAAAAACTTAGTTTTACCCAACGCGATATAGCACAATGTTTTTACAATAAAATATTCAGCAAATCTGTGTTGTTAATACATGTGCTTCACTAATTATAATTATAAAAAATACTCTTCAGTATATCTTTTAAAAAATATCTAGGAAAGCCAAGAAAAAAATAACAGAATTTTGAAAAACATAACTTACCTCCACGGGCAAAATTCCCAATCTCATTTGGGCCACTGTTGCTGTTGTTGACCGGCAAGCTTGTGGCTGGCCATGAGTCCGCGAGCCAGGGGTAACTGGGGTCCCCTGCATTTAGAATACCTGGGCGGCTGAAACAGAAATTAAAAGGAAATCAACCACGGAGCTCAGTGAGAGACTTGGACACCTTTCTCATGCACTAAAATTAATTTAAGAATTTAATGTACTTCAAATTAAAATGTGTGGGCTCTCTAGAATTAAGGAACTGCAGCAGGTCATTAGTTGTATAGAGATTCGTCCTGTCAGTGGGAGCAGGAGGGTCCTGCCTGGGATTCTGCTACATCCAGATGAATTCAGTCACCTGTTCTGGAACTGGTGGGAATCAGTAGCACAGCAGGCTCCCAAACAAGGTTTGATGATAAATTGGAACCTCGAAGGGACAATTGCTCAGAGTGACTGCTCAGTATCAGCCATTTCTAGGACTTTGGGCTATTGCTTCCTTGATTCCTGCAACCCCCATATTTATGTGTCCCCTGGAGGCTGTAAACCCGTTATGAACCCTCATGCTTGATTTAGGGCAAAGAACTTGAGGAAAATTAATGAAGAGTATTTATACTGTTCCGTCAATAGCACATTTCCTGTTTTCTAGATTGCAAAATATTAGGAGTATATTATATATGTTTTAAGGTAATAAAAGATCCACTGTGATCTCATCTAGAATGTGCATAGGGTCTATGAAGAAAACTTTCTTCTCATCATAGTTAATAAATAATTCACATCTTTAATATTAAAGATGGGGATTCTAATTCCTCTGTAGATTATTAAATTATTTACAAAGAAATAGCAACATCTATAATCATTGTACTTGTTTTTTTTTTTTTTTTTTTTGATAGACCCTTCTGGTATAATCCCTAAGAGAAACATGAGTTTCTATGGAAACTGCAATAAGAAAATCCAACTGCTTTCTTGTTTCATCTATGAGTTCTCATTAGACCTAATCTCTGTGCAAAATTATTGATTAAGTGGGAGATTGGAAGTTATTACCAGAGCCTAATTACAATCTCCATATTGGCAAAGGGAAAATAGATGAGGATATATGGGTTTGTTATCAGCTTTTATCAATTTCAATTGAGTATCCAAAGTTGTGGAATCCAGTCTTATCAATCTACAGCCTATACATCATCCATGAATCATTTACTTTGTGATCGATTATGTGTAATTGTTCACTCACAGCAATTTAGTGAGAGCCAATAAGGAGTCTTAAACAACAGCAACTTCATTTGCTAATGTCTAATTAATGCAATAAACATCCTGCTAACAAATGAACACATTCCTTGTGATATTTACTACTAATTTCTTCAGGGGCATCTGGGGGATATGAAACATCTGGACTTGATTCCTCTAAGTGCACAACAGATAGATCATTAAACCTGTGGTAAGCCATTTAATTCCTCCTAGAATTCTCAGGCTTGTAAGTGATCGTTTATTACAATGAAGCCTCTTACTATAAACTTTCCCTCTCCTGATTATAAATAGTAATAATTTTTAAAAAGAGTCTGCTTAGCATACCTTCCATTGCTCATTAGTCCTCCATCTCCTCTTTGAAATGTAACTGTAAAAAACAAAGACAGACACATGCACAGAAGTAGTCAATATTAATTACGATTAAAAACAACTACATATTGGCCCTTAGTTTAGAGCTGAGGCCTCTGGGAATTTTAACAAAACATAATTAACATAATTGTACAGAGAGTATAAAGAAACGATTTGGCTCAGGGCAAAGCCGTCACTTGCTCCAACTTTAATAAGACACTTAAATATTCTTCACGCCAAATGTATGGTTAAGTCAAAAGGGCAGTTTGTATTTGGATGTCAAATGTTACAATTGGTATATATGGTGGTATTAAAAATCGACAAGTAATAATGGGAAATTATGAAATCGTGACTTTTAACCTTAAGCCATTTTAATCTTAAGTGTCCTAATTAGAAGGAATGCACAAAATGCAAATAATAGAAATTGAAAAAAGATAGTTCAAACAGGTAATACCATCCCTCCAGTGTTACAGGTGACACAGGTACTGATTGATGACATATTCTCACTATCACAGATCCCTTCAGGGGCACCGCTAGGCACTGCGAATTGAACACCTATAGTTACAATAGCCACGAACTGTATTTAATAGAGAATTATGTACTCAGTGCTTTGTTTCATCATCCAACCTTCACAAAAATGAAAATTTCAAAATACTGATAACTGAATATATTCCAATTGAATGTAATGATTACAAAGCTCAAGTTCTTTATAAAACTGTGGGATTTATTAGTCACACCAACAAGCATCCAGTAGAACCACAGTTGGGGTGGTCACTCCCTCCAGCCACCAGATTCCATTCAACAACCAGCACATGAAAGTGGGTTTCAAAGAGCAGCCAAATAATGTGAATATCAGTTCAGGTCCATCATCACTTGTCCAAGATCTTTGCTGCCAAATGTATTTGAAATTCAAAATATATCAAATCTTAGAAAGGTATTAAGTTGCATTCTACAGAGAGGGTCTAGGCAGCAAATTATTGTCAACATTTTAAAATATTTTTGCATGGAAATGTGAATATTCATTATTAGTAGGATAAAATCTACAAATAATTTCACATTACTTTGATTCAAATGACTTAACTGGAAAATCATGCAAAAAACTTGGTGTTTAGAAATTCATGGATTGCAAAATTGAAATTATGCCCAACATTAGTATGGATCAGCTAAACCAATCATTGGGAAGTAAGGGAAAAAATATCATTTCAGATAGAAGAAGCCAACTTATCCTATTTTTGGAAGATACTGATTTTATTTATAATGTGTGTGTTTTTTCACTAAGTGAAAAATGATAAAAATAAGTAAAAATTCATATTTTAGTAAATGACAGACCTATTGTTACTTTAAACATACCCATAGTAAATGCCTTTTCATGTGAATAATCTCTTCATAATTTATTAGTTCCTCAAATTTCTACCATCAAATATGATCATACTATAAATTTTGTAAACTTCCAAAACCAGTTCCCAAGTCCGTTCCCTAAGGTCATCTAACGATCTGTTGATGACATCAGAAGGCAATATGATCATATTTCAAGGGGCTGTTGGAGCTCTGAAGCTGCAGGCACCTGAACCTACGCCTACGACGTGGAGGTAACATCTCACATGCGTTGTAAAGCAACCCAGGCATCACCTGTGCATCTGCCCCGAAGGGGTATGGATAGAGTTCATCAGAAAAAAAATCAAGGAATACTGAGCACTACTCTGCTTTCCGATGGCTCTAAGTGCTAGGAATCAGGAATCGGCAGTGTGTCCACCACACATCAGGTCCCTTTAATAACTGCATTTAAAAACAAAGAAAAAATTAACCTAAAATAATTAATGGAAAAAAAAAACTGATCATGAGAACTATTAAATAAAGGCCTGATTGGGGAAATAAAACCCAACAAAATGTGAAAACAGTATAGCTAATTAGCTCTCCATCTGATGTGAGTTTCTAGTTATATGGTTTCTAATGGACTATCACATGATTGTGTGACTGCTGAAAGAGAGTTAAGATAATGTTGTGAATATCTTTGTGAATATGCAAATAAGCAGGCACTGATGGGCTACACCTTAAAACGTGCTGTTTGGAGATATGTAGGGGGAAGCTTAGCATTTCTCCCTAATTTAGATGCTCTTTTTTCCCCACCCAGAGTCTGTTACGGCCAGGACAATAAATGACAGGAAAGGACACTGAAGAGGCAAAAAAGCTGAGTTGCACTTAGCTTGTACATACCACCAATGATGAATTCTTCGTAACATGTATCTCTGCATACCAACCACACAAAGCAAAAATGGACAGTACACTGTGTAAATATACGACTCACTTAAAATGGCCTATTGACACCATTTAGTACACATGAGAATCTTCCATTTTGTATATTTCTATCAGAAAAAGCAAAGATGTTTATCCTGATAATTTTGCTTTAGTTGTGTTTTTTAAAGCAAGGGGAAAAAAGAGGTTCTTTTTGAGGTTGTTTTTTCACCGCATGCTCCAACACTTCTATATTTGTTCCAATTCAAATAGCAAATGAAAAGTAACTGAATTCTATGAGATTGTGGGATTAAAAGCAGACTAGAAATAAGGATGAACAATGAGAACTCCTAAAATGGAAGTCATTTGGTGTTTTGATCAATATTTTTGTGTGTGTGCAAAGAGAGAGAAACATAAAAATAAAACCACAGCAAATTGAAAGCTGTTTTGAAGAAGCTATTGTTCCAAAGAGCTGTTGAATCTCCTTGAAGCTAAAAGCAAAGAGGGTGTGGAGAGTATAGGTGATGAGATAATCTTGTTCTAGTTATGATTTCCACATTCACAGTATAGTAATTTTGTGTGGATTGGACATACATCTGAAATAAGTGTGAATCTTTATCAGGAGTTTCTGCTAGCATCTAAAATTGAGAACTTTCAGGGAGGCACGGACAGAGGTTTTTAACTAAAACTATAACTAAGTAACACTAAGGTTTCCAAAAAGTTCTGCAGAAACCACAATCTTAAATGTTTTAGAATTGCACTTTGAATTTATTGCAATATTTATAAAGCATCTATGGTAAAAAGACTGTGCAGGTTTCTATCTCACGCCCGCTGGAGCGAAGGGGGAGGAGAGCACAGCTCTGCAGCGAATTGACGCTGGGCAGCAAGAGGCTTCCCGAGCGCCTCTCAGTGAAGCACATGTTCCTGCTCCAGACGGAATCTTCAGTGTTGCCAGCCAAGCCCCACTCTCTCTTGATAAGCTAGTTCTCAAACATGAATGTAGATTAATCCTCTTTTAATAAGCATAAGTCAGCTCAGATAATCAGAGTATAAAAATTCCATCAAATCTTTTAGCAGTCCTTGGATAGTTTTGTCAAATAATTTCTATTTCAGCAACAGTTGTAAAAGCTATGCTTGAATGGTTTAATGTTTCATAATTTGCTTACTCATTAAATTGTTTATATTTATCAATTTTCATAAAATCTGTTACCTTCAGAGGTAATAGTCATAAAATAAAATCACCCCCTGAAAAGTAAAAATATATTTACTTTCATTAAAATGTCGATGCCTTAAAATGGTGAATAGAAAGTGAACAATGTAAATTTGAAAAGAACCATTCACGTGGATTATGGTATGTATATATAAAATATGTGAATATGTATAATACGTTTTATATAGTATACATATAATTATATAGAAACCTCATGAATGCTACATGGCTTTTATTCAAATGTAGGGTGTTCATTTTCCTATGTACACTTTCATGTATGATCCAACATTTACTCTAGATTCAAACGTCACCTACTGTTTCCTGTATTTTCTGCCCAAATAGCTTTAGTTTTATTTCAGCCCATTCCAGCGCAGGTGGTGAGTTACTCCGGCGGCCAGGATGTATGTGCAGTGACTGGGGGACGGATCTCTCGTGAAGGTCACGGCAGAGACACTGTGTTACGCTCCGGACAAATCTACAACGGTTTCACGTGAGACCTGAGATACCTTTTGAAGTCTGGATGTCCTCCTTTGTGCCACGTGCAAACCTGTGGCCCATGTCTGTTTCTGAAGGATTAAATAAAGGACGAAGAGGGAAAAAGTGCACAGTGTGTCACCTTGCCCTGGGGATATATCTAATTTCCACTACATGAAGAAGCAAAACCTGTTCGGCCCAATTCTCCTCTCTGGTCATTTAAAGGTATAAGTTTGCATTGATTCTTGATAGTTGTTTTCACAATCCAAAGTGTTAATCCACTAGTGTTCTATGATAAACAGAGACATATCAATACTGAATGGTAGGCTTTCTTTCCCTTCCTTCCAAGCATTCAAATATAATGTTTCACATGACACAAAGTCAAAGAAGAGCCACCGTAACAGCCAATGAGTAAGTTTTTGCCTAAATAGAGTGAGTGAAGACGTCCTTTGAGGGTAAGAATTGCTACCTTGGGCGGTGCTTATATGACTCCCCACTGGTTAAAATCTGCCCTGTTCTAGCGGTAGTGGCTGAGAAGACCCGTGGAGTGGGTAGGACAGGCGAGTGCCGAAGTCCAAGCCCACCTGCCGCACAGTTCCACTTAGGCTCACTCTAGCTCTTAAATACATGGTCCTTAAAATACATAGCACAGCAGATAGTAAGGTATAACCCAACCTCACACTTGGGACTTGAAATAAAGGAAGTATCTTATTATATAAATTAATTTAAATAATTATACCAAATTTTGTTTATTTGAAAAAAAAAATTTTTTTCATGAATCAACAATAAAGATTAGAGACTATATAGACATTACAATGCAGTGAAAAAGTAGGAATGTTAGGCTTTTCATCTGGTAAATCAAATCTCATTTTCTTACTTGTGAAATTTAGGATTACCAGAGAAATTTTTATGGAAACCAAAACATAAAGAGAACCAGTACAAATAAAGTTTATTCAATATAATTTTTATGACACATTTCAGAAAAAAAATAACCCTGTGTGAAATCTCTATGCTCTTAAAATGGCTCATTAGCTCATGCATTAAATATCTGAATTTAAACCTGTGATAAATATATACATATTCCATTCATCATTCCTACTTAGAATTCCCATGTTATGCACACTGCATGAGGATAAGGACATGAACACTGAGCAGGTGGAGGAGAGGCTATTTCTGGAGGGAAATGGGTGGGAACGATCACCAAGTCAGATATGTGACGCGAGGCGTTTGCATTCGCTTCTCACCTACAAGAAAGGAATGGCAGCTGCTGAAGGCAAATTACCAGCTGAAGGTGAACCCACTCTGGGAGCCAGCCATCTATCAACTAAGCATAAAGCTTCTGAAAGGCTGCTCTCTGGCTTGGCCTCATTCCAAAATATTTGAAGGACATACACCTTCTGAGTTAGCAGCTCTCCTACAGGCAGATGGATATCGATCACTCTGAGAAATGGTACTAGGAAATGGACTATTCTTGTCAAGCTCAAAGACCAACAGAAGTTTTCAAATTAAATATATAAGTTTTAAAAGAAAAACTACATTAAAAACGAAATAGAAGGAAAAAACGTCTGACATAATTTTACTGAAGCACAAACCTACTAATTATGAGGGCCCGGTCATTGACGAGGGAGGAGTGAACACAGCGGTACGGAGGCTACACGGCGAGTGTGGGTATCTCAGAACTCTGCACCCAAGTGTCTAGTGTAGTCATTATTTTCTTATTTGCACTGAAGTCCAGAAAAAGGATAAACACAAAATGGTCCTTGATTTAAATCTGTTCCTCTATGTTTTATAAGATTTTCATGAATGTGTCACAGGGATAAGAAGTAGCATGGTGAGTGATCAAGCAATTGGGCAGACAGAGCGTCAAGGGGTGAAGGTGAGGACTGTCCTGAAGATCGAGAAGGTTCACTGGCCCATCCTCAAGGTTCAGGACTCACACTCAGCCCTCCCCGGGAGAATCCCTCGCTGGTGTGGTGACATAGGGCTCGGATGACAAAGCACAAGGAAGGAGGCGTCAGCAACCAGCAACAATGAAAATGACCCCTTCCCACTGGATACACTGTAATACTTTCTCTAGTCCTGGGAATTTATTCTATCTAGTAACTAATAAACTTTATTTTCATAAGATATGGACACGAGCCATAATGTTATAATCAAATGATCATAATTAAATGCTGTCAAATAACAAACCAGACAACCAAGTAGGTGCTGTTTATTCCGTTTTGTATTATTTAGACATTCTCGGCAGTTCAGACGCTACAAGCAACAGCAGCGTATAAGCTTAATAAGCAATGAGACCTCTGTCAAATCAGTTATTAAGATATGTAAGCTTCTTGTCAAGGTTACAGAAGACTGAATAAAATGTCTCAAAAATTCTAAAGTGTTTGTAGAAGGATGTTAAATTTAAATTGTTTGCTTTAAACTCTAGAAAGTGTAAAAGACGATGAGAAAATTTCTTCTTTTGATTGTTGTTTTATAAAATACTTAAAACAAATTTCAATTAAAAATGTTATTGAATAAGCTTCAGTACTGACTTGATAATTCTCTCTCTCTCTCTCTCTCAGAACTATTTTAATGGCCACAGTTTTGACATCCTTGAAATTGTGCTTTGAATTCTAAAGCAAAACATCTTTTCAGATAGGTAGAACATTCAGGGGCTTCTTTTTCTTTTGTTTTTTTTTTTTTTTTTTTTTTTCTTTCTCCTTTTCGTCCTTCTAAAATGCTGATTGGTCACCTTGGAATAGACATCCATTTAAATAAGTAGTAAATCCTTAATTCATGTGACATCAGTCTTATTAATTCTGGGGAGACTTTTTGCTTGTTTTTATTTTCTATCTGGAACATTTCCTATTGTAATCTGCATCTTAAAATACTTAATGCTGTATTTCAAATTTTTTCTTTTTATCCTGACCATTCCAGTAATGCTCTCGTCTAAATACATTTCTCCGCAAAGGCCTCATAGCCTGCAAACCCTGTGTGTGTGTTTCTGTGTTCTGAAGGACTAGTTGAGAAAAATGGTTTAGCATTTACCAGTGTGCACTCTTGTTATGCTTCATTGGGAATTCAAGCAAAAAGACTGCCTCATGGTCATAATGTGATATGCTGAAGAGCAATGCATTAAAGCATGTCATTTGTAATTGCATTTTACAGAACAGATGTTTAAAACAAGCCAAAAACATTCATTCATTTACTCTCCTGGTATTCCATTCCATTTCTTCTCTTTCATTTCAACACATTCTTAAAGATAAGAGGTTTTCTTAGCTGGAAATAGTCTCTTACCGGCATAATTACTGAGTCCCTTTCTCTTCTTTCTTCTCCAATACAACCAGATGCTAAAACCCATCAAAATCACCCAGCAGGCACCACCAATACCAGCTATAAAGGCTGGTTGCTTCACAACATCAGTGATTTGCTCAGTTATGCTGTTATTGTTTTCAGTAATGACAACTTCATTGCGTCCACCTATGGAAGAAACAATAGTTTTCTTAAACATTAATACAAAAATAAACACAGCAATGCACATGGTGCTCTGGAGGTACAGAAAGTTAGAAAATTCCTTTGACAGCAAGTAATACTGGTTGTGTCCTGAACCTGTCACAATCATTGATGAGCATATTGTGTAAGTTACAGGAGATGAAATCAAATTACAAATTTGAAATGTGATTAAGAACGTTGGTCTCCGGTGTTTGGTTTACTATTATGAATAGATTCAGAACTGCTTCTTGATTTACCTCCTTAGACATGAGTAGTAAAACAACTGCTAGGGGTTGAAATAACAGCAACTTTTCTTTAGTGAGGTAAAGTGGGTTGTAATACAGTCTCAAAATCAAGCAATGCACCCACACCCGTCAGCACAGGCTTTTGCACGTGGTCCTCCTGGGCAGCACTGCACACATCCAAATGTTCATGATTCGGAAACATGCAACTTCATACTGTCTGTAGTATTGTATCAAGGAACTTATTTGGATCAAAGCATTTAATTTTCGAGAATGTATTAAAACGAATGTATAAAACAATGACAATTATGACATCCTTTCATAAAGATTAGTATCTACAATTAAAATGTCATAAAAAGATAAAACTTGTATATTACCTTAAAGCATCTGCAACTAGCTTGAAAATCCACTTGAAAGTTGAGTTTAAAAGACAACTTTAAATTTAATTCTAAGGTCTACATAATTAAAGCACACATTTAAACCTGGACTAAGATTATTCTAGAAGTAGTCATGTTTTTAATTTAGACGTCTCAGAAATAATTTAAAAAACCTAAACCACATTAAAAAAAAATCCTCACCTGAGGCTATTTTCCATTTATCTTCAGATGGAGTAGGAGGGAGATGCAGGAAGAGAGAGAGGGGGAGACATTGATGCGACAGAGACACATGGTTGGTTGCCTCTGGCATGAGCCTAATCAGGGCGAGGGACCGAGATGCAACTGAGGTCCGTGCCCTTGACCGAAATCAAACTCGCCATTCTTTGGTCCAGGGGAAAATGTTCTAACTGCTGAGCCAAACCAGCCAGGGCTTAATCAACATTAGAAAATAGTTTTTAATATGTTTTTATTGATTTTTTTTAGAGAGAGAGAGGAAGGGAGAGAGAGACAGAAACATGATGTGAGAAAGAAACATTGATCCACTGCCTCCTGCACGCCCCCTAGTGGGGATCGAGCCCACAAGCCGGGCATGTGCCCTGACCGGGAATTGAACCAGAACCTCTCAGTCCATGGGATGATGCTCAATCCACTGAGCCACATCGGGCAGGCTTAATCCACATTTTTAAATAGGCTTAAACTCATGAAATCATAATATCACTGAAGAGCAAAGACGCAGATGTTTATTTCACAGATTAAGAAATTTAGACACTAGGAATTAAGTGATATCTTTTTTTTTAAGTTTCTATTTTAATAGCTTTTTTGATAAATAATAGACATACAATAAAGGAACATATGTAGAGTAATAATCTAATAGTTCTGAATGTAGGCACAGGCCGGAAAGCATTACAACTGTCAAGAGAAGGCATATATTCACTGTTCTCCAAAATTCCCCTTCCCTTTTCTTACCCCTCCCTGCAGCCCTCCGTGCTCACTCCAGCCACCACTGATCTGTCACTCTACATTAGTTTTATTTCCTAGATTTATATATATATGGAATTATACAGTATGTATTCGCTTTAGTCTGGCTTCCACTGAGCCTTATTATTTTGAGATTCATCTATGTTGCTATGTGTAGTTTATTTCTTTTTATTACTAAGAGGTATTCCACTTGTGGTATATAAATGCCACCATTTGGAAGCAAATGTTTGTACAAAGACTAGCACATAAATATTCATAATAGCTTTGTTTGTGATAGCTGAAACTGATTCTAATCTCAGTATTATGCCTCATTAGTGACTAATCAAAGACTATTTAAAAATAAATTATAATCCAAATATAATTGGCAAATTTTGGCATATCTCCTAAAAAAATGTGTCATTTTTATTGTTTTACTTATCAGGCACTGAAATATAGTAGAAAGAGCATGGGCTTCGAGGTTCTGCGTTTGAATACCATCTCTGCCACTTCCCAGCTAAGGAAGCAGTGAGTTTGCGCAGGGCACCGTATCTTTTCAGGTTCCAGTTTTTGTTAGATGGCAACAGTGCTGTCTTTTGAAAGGGTTGTTTGAGACGATGCATGTGAAGAGGTTACTTGGAACACAGTAGCTGGTGACTCAAAATTATGGTCCCTTTAAAGTTAAGGGTTATTTTAAGAGCCACTTAGGTAACTTCTGGGGTGTAACTTGTAAATTGTCTAGATGTGAGAGTCCTGCAAACCACAGGTGACCTGTTTACTGTAGTTTCCTGTTTCTTCCAGAGCAGAAAATCAGTCTACATTTCCCAGACTGCCTTACAGTTGAGTGCCACAGTGACTGAACAGTGGCCAAGGGTGCATGGGCACAAGTGATGCATATACTACCTCCGACTTGACCCATATGCTGTGACAATACTTGGAGGATACCAACTCCCTAAGAGATGGTGGAGCCATTGACTGCAAAGATGGAAGTTTCCTGAATAACTGTATAGAATAGAAATCCCATCTTACATTCTGTTAACTCATTTTAGACTGGGCTAAAAAAAAAAAAAAAAAAAGGTGTCTTTTATTAAGCCAACCAGAAGGCAGGCTTGTTTGTTATAGCTACTACCATTTCTTATACACACTTATATATCATTTCTGAAGTGTCTTTTGAGTTTAATTTCAGATTTAAAATGCACATTCACTTATTTGTAGTAAACATGCTTCATTTTCCCAATCTATCTGCCTTAATTATTATACAGATCCACATAGTAAAAAATGTATTTAAAATAAGCTCGTATTTTCAATATAAGACATAGATATATCTGGTAATTTTTTAGCTACTACTAGTTACTGAAGAGAAAACACGTAACTCATAGAACAAAGAGAAAAGAAAATTTCTCCTTCATTTGTGTAAAAGGTCCATGAAATGTCCTATTTAACATAGTACAATATTTATGCTACCCTAGTGTATTACTATTTCTTGTGCTGTGATATTTTTGAAACAATGGTGTCAGTTAGACTAATTAGAGCATAGACATGATTGTTGTGTGTGACCTGTAATGCTCCCTTGTTCTTGCAGACAAAAAATAAATGAAATATAATGTCTTCTTCCCATTGGAGAGTAATGAAGAACAAACCTAATTTGTTTCACGAAAAATTAATTAGACACATCAGATTCAATCGTACCTATTATGGTGAAAGTTTGCAGCTGTTCCATATATTATTACCAACTATGTAAGGTGAGCATGAAGTGGCAAAATGATTACGGAAATAAGAGCTATATTATTAAGCAAAATTACTAAAAATTTTAAGTCAATGTCAATTTGTAATATGGCATACTGTTTGATGCTTATATACGAAAATGCATTTGGTAGCACTGGTGTGACAGTAAGTACAACAGTATGGAATTACGGCCACTGATGTAAAAGTCGTTTTACCAGGGAAAGCTACAGACAACAGAACAATTTTACTTTTAAGCCTGTGTAAGGTTTTTTATTATGTTTGCACAACATTTTAATTAATGGCCTCTTAATGGAATTTTCTGGAATGAAAACTAAACTGAGATGGAATAGATGAAACAGTACATGGTTGGGCATAAGACAAATCTAAATTTATCAGCTATAAATTACATCAAATGCCAATACATGATTTAATTAAAGTGAAAAGAGAAGGAGGCGGAGCTTGAGTCACTTCAAGTGCTGTTTCCAGTAAGGAACAGACAATAGGGAAGCGTAAATTGAAACAGAAAAGGAGATTAGACATCACTAAATCACTTTACAACCAAGGAACAACAGTTGTGTGGATAAGGTTATCAGACAAGATGTTAAGGTAGATATGCAGTGATAATTAAAGAAACAATTAAGGGTTCCTTCAGTACATCAGTGATTATTAAAAAGAAATAAATCTCTTGGGGACAAATAGCCTTTTCTGGGTTGAATTTTGCTTGGTGTGTGTGTGCGTGTGCGTGTGTGTTCATTTCAAGTGGCACAACATTCTATTGTCTATGATTACAATCTAAATATTGCATATTCTACATACTTGAATAAGGGATAAGACTATCATTTAGGAGATTATTTTTATTTTATAGAAATATTTGAAAATTTCTGCATGATATACTAACCTATAAATTAAAAAGTACTCATTTTTTGAAGATTTAGTCTTTTTAAGATATACAAGAGTTAAACAAACTTTCCATTTAATTTAAAACCTAAATTTACTTTATTATTTTAAGTGACTACACACTTGTTCATTTCTTAACTGTCATGCCATGAGCTTAGTGAAATGGTGCTCTTGCAATAACTCACTTGCCTCCCAGTGTAATAAATCCCCAACATATTGGGAAGCAAACAGGCAGTCAGTATAAAACAACAACAACAAAACTTTCCAATGTTTGAGAATTATATTTATAACTGAGGATTATAGAAAAATAAAATATAAAATTAAAATATACATATTTGACAATCTTTCTTAACTTTAGTTAAAAAAATATCCAATCTATTACATACATATATATGTAGAGAGACAGTAAAAACAAAACAAAACAAAACAAAAAAGACAAAAACCAAGCTTTTTTTAGTTATTTAGAAGCTCTCACAGAAAACTACATCTTTGAAACATGTCTCATATATAGTTTTTTTAAGTTAAAAATTAATGACAAATTTCTAAATACTATAAATGGAATATATATGTCAGTTAAATCCTTTTGGGTGTACCTGTATTTCTTTCTTATTCTAATTTATTTTTAAAAATCTCAGAAGGGCATGATTGTAGTTTTCCCTCAGGTTAAGAAATTAATTCAGTCTGTATGACTAATTAAGAAAGAAAAGGCAATTTAGAGAAAAGTTAATTCTATAACTTTTATCTTTAATACTTTTATTATACACAAGAAAGAAAACTTGGAGAACCTAAAAAA